CTTAGATAATTAGGAAATAATCCGTAAAGATAGACAGTCTGGAAATAACACATCAAAATGTAGGAGAGGTGGAGTTGCTGTTTTGTTCAAGGACAAATTTAAACATTTCATCACTAGAATTAACACAGAAAATAATATGAATGATATTCTTTGGTGTAAAATTAATAAAAAGCTATTTAACCGTAGCAGTGATTTATATATTGGCTGCATATATATACCTCCAGAAAACTCATCTATTTATAAAAGTAATGAAAGTGATAAATTCTTACTGCTTGAGAGGGATATAGCACATGTCTCTGCTAAAGGAGATGTTATCCTGTTAGGTGATTACAACTCTAGAGTTGGCTTAATTAATGATTTAGTAAATGAAGAAAATAATAAACATATTCCCCTCCCTCTTAACTATATCACTGACAACTTTAGAGAAAGACGTAGCATGGATAACAAAGCAAAAACAAACACTAACAAATTTGGTAGAAAATTAATTGAGCTTTGCATGGACAATAACTTGATTATTCTCTATGGGCGCACCTGGTAAATACACCTGCTACACAGCAAATGGGTGCAGTACCGTTGATTATGCAATCACATCTACTTTTATTTTTGAAAATGTTCAGTATCTCAAAGTGCATGACCTAACCTGCATCTCAGATCACTGCCCCATATCACTGTCTCTGTCTTTTAAAATTGATAACAATATTAACATAAAAAAACGTGAAGTCAAAATGGACATGAAACCACTACCAGCAAAATACATCTGGGACAGTGAAGCAAAACTAAAATTTAGGCAACTTCTTGAAATTGCTAAAGAAAACGAAATTAGCGACATTATAAACAAAATTGATTCAAACAATTGTGATGATGTTGTTACAGAATTTAGTGCTTTGCTGTCATCAGTCGCGGATAAAACTGTCAAAAAAATAACACCCAAAATTAGAAAAAAGAAAAAAAGAGGAACCAAATTATGGTTTGATAGAGAGTACTGGGAAATTCGAAATGAACTTAAAACTGCTAGCAAATTGTTTCAGCAATATCCCCTTGATCCGTTCACCAGGGGAAAATACTTTGTTATAAAAAAAAATATAAAAAATTAATTAAAAGGAAAAAATATGACTTAAAACAGCATCAGTTATCAAAGCTAAGTGATTTGGAAGGTGAACCATCAACATTTTGGAAGCTGTTACGAGACTTAAACTCAGATTGTTTAGATAACAATAACAATTCAATTGAGCCCAATGAGAAAGGCAGACATAATAATATGCCGCTGGATAAAAGAACATGTGATATGTGCAGCCAAAATATAATTGAGGATGAGCAACATTTTGTAATGAAATGTCCAGCTTACAGTCACCATAGGGACAAATTATTCCTGACTGCACAAAATAAAGTTCCAAATTTTGATAAAGAAAATAGTCAGAATAAATTCATTTTGATTATGGCAAACCATACTCTAGCACCAGCCTTAGCTGTCTTCCTAAAAAACAGCTATGGAACAAAACAACAACTATCAGTGTATTAGGCTACATTTTGTGTTCATTCTATTTTCTGTATTCACCATTGGCTGCAAATTATTTTTGATTTGTTTTATTTTTTAAGAAAAGTTTTTATTTTTTGTTTTATTTTTTAGATTGTAGTTTTTTTTAATTTCTTTCTGTAAAACCTTTTTTATCCTTTCCTAAGGATGTTATGCGTCTAATAAAAAAATATACACTGATCTGCCGTAATTCCATACATAAACATGAATGAAATGCAGTTATTCTGATCTTAAAACCTTTAAACCTGTGAATATTAAACATAATTATAGTATAGGTATACCTTCCGTCTTGGTCTTGTCTCCCAGCAGCTGCCAGGTTCATGTAAGGTTAGCCGCTGACTTGTCGACTTTGAGTTTGAAGCAGTCGGCAACTGTCGTTCTTCGGGTGGATCCGAGAGATTGTCACTTCTTTTGGTACTAGTACCAAAATATGAAGAAATTCTGAGTAACATGAATACTAGAATAAGTGCTAAAAGACATACAACAGTCAACAGCAAATAAAATATCGTTAAAACAAGAAAATTGTAAGTTTCCTATTCAACTTCTATATTTGCCCGTAAAAACAAAATTACCCTTTGACACGTGTGTCTGTTTCTCATTTCTTTTCTCCAAACACTTTCGCACGCTTTCGGGAAGACGAAACTTGAACGTCAAGTAACGCTCAACTATTATAAAAACAGAAATTCAGTTATATTTTTATATTAGGCCGAAAAAGAATCATCACCCAGTTCATTGTTTTGCAAAACAAAACATTAATATTGTGCCGTTGGTGGCGCTATTTAGAATCTTAACACTGTCTATCGGCCCAGCAGATTTAGCTTTTGGCGTCAAATTTGAAAAAAAAATGTCGTCTGCAATTATTCCACCAAATTTTGGCACACGTTTGCAAGGACGTCATAAAATGGTGATACCTATGGGAAAAAATACATTATATTGAACTGGAGTTGGAATCGTCATGTAAGGCTGGTCAGTTTGTCTCTTGTACCTTTTTTAATAATTTGTATCTACAGTCCCTCTATGATAGAGCCTTAGGGACTGTAATTCAACTATGCCGTAGCCTAGATACTGTGTTCTTAAAATTGTTAAAAGTTTGAAATTCCAGAGATCAGATAATTGCTATCATTTTGGTACAAAATTGGATTTCAGACCTTGTTCGTGATTTTTGTCTTATGTTTGTGGGATGTGAAAGTTATTTTCCATGAGTGCTGCAGTGTATCCTGTGGTTATATTTTCACAAGTAAAATGAGTAAGAATGCAGCGTTGATACACCACATCATAAGTGATGAATAACTTCCATACCCCACAAATGTCATGGCAATGCCATTGGATTCTGTTATTATTACATATGTTACCAGACTTTATGAAAATCTTCAGAAAAGTTGTAATCACAGCATCTACAATTTTTGTATATGTTCGAGCAATTGTTGTAACTTACTATAAAACTTATTTTGCTCAGTGATTGGTTAACCTGATTTCCATTCTATGCATATGCAAATACTGTATTTGCAGACACAAGCTTGCTCACATTGTTGGTGACATAATTGCATCAAACAGAAAAAAAAAAAAAACCATTCACTATTTTTCTCCACCATCGCGTAAGACATTTAAGTGTATTTTAACATCGATAACAAAAAATAAACATGTATTCAATATATCAAACTTGGCATCAAGAGTTTCGGTTTATGTGATTTGCATATCAGTCATTAAATAAAATACTAATTTGTATATCTTTATTGAAAATACTATAGTCTCCAATGTTCTATAATATTTATTAATAATTATTATAAAAACGCACAAACACCAAAATATGAAAATTGTGTTTTTTGTTTTTTTTTTGTTCCGTTTACATCTTGACAAGGGTGTAGTACATAAGTAATTATCAAGAGTTGTTCATGCTCTAGCTCCCCTACCTATCCTGGGAAATATTGAGGGATCTAGAAATTAATGTTTTGACATTTAGCAAATGTGCAACCTCTTGGGGCAAAATACACTAGGCACATCCCCGCTGAAAACAAGCCAACAAGTATTGGTGGATTGATTTTAGCATGCTACTAATAGACTCAATTAGGAATAAAAAATAATCAAAGTCTTAGACATTTCAGAGGAGAAATAAGTCATATTTATAACCTATCTATGAATAAAATGTTCACTGATTACCTGAGAATTACCAATTAACTATTGTGGTCTTGTAATAGGTTGCAAGATTTTTAAGATTCAGTATGAAATTCAAACTATTCAGGTTTTTTTTTTAACAAGGGAACAGGGGCACAGCGCCCTCATGCTATGGCCATGCGTCCCTTACCCTTGGGAGCAGATCCTCTGGCAACCATAAAATTCTGATTGACCAGGGATCACATGTGGCCACAGTCTTCAACTGTGATCTGTCTGATAGTAATTTTGGACCCCAGGGAAGCCAAATAGAACCTTGTTCATTTTAACTCCCACCCTGGAGTAAGGGGGCGCATAGCCATGGCATGAGAGTGCTGCGCCCCTGTTCCCTCATTTACAAAATCCCTGAAGTCTATTGGAAATATGCTAAAATCTCTTCTTTACAGGTTTCATGCCTTGATAAAAACCAATTATAGAATTGTGTGTTGAGTAGTGATTTCCATTTTTACATGGCCAAAGTATCCATGGCCAAAACGTTTTTCCTATAAAAAAAAAACCACAGTCGAAATGAACCATGAAGAAGGTAATATATTATGCACAGTCATACCAAACTATGTTGTTTCTTTCATGGTTAGTGTAGCATAAAAAAGCAGATGATATCAAAATAGACAACCATTAATGATTAATTATCTCCTTGCCTTCGGGATATAATTCATGGCTCATCGCTTTGCCCTTTGTCCCATAAGCATTATCAAGTCACGACCTTTTCACCATTCCCTATTTTCATAACAAATTCACAAAATAGTTCTGTTTATAATCTGCATTTTTCCTTCAGAAGATTGGGACAAAAATAGCCCAATTTTTTGAGTGAAAACTGAAAATTGATTCAAATTTTGTCTGTTAGCTCCAAAATTAGGGTTCATTTGCAAAAATATTGAAGAATATAAGAAAATAGTGCAAAAAAATTTGGGCAAGGAAGTCTGATGGTAAAAAGGTGACATGTGAAATAAGAAAAAGAATACATTTTGAAAATGTATATTTGTAGCTGTGATCAGTTGACAGCATTTGGGCCAGTGCCTTCAAATATTAATGCAAATATGTGCTACCTACTACCAGCCAGATCTGAGTTGCACACAGGATAGCCAAATCACTGCTTTAGAACAAAATTAACTTATATACACACATTGCTGGGATAAGCTTATATTCCTTACTGGTATCCAAATTTTTAATGCTGCAGTATTTTTTTTATAATTCATACATACAAAACTGACAAGTCACTTGGTGTGTAAACATATACTCAGTTAACATTTGAGTCTTATCTCTCTAGCAAATGTGTACTTTATTTTTAGCATTGTTGACATTTATGAAAAAATACATTAGTTAAAAACAAAAATGTACTCAAATACAGCAGAAATATATATTAATGCCCCCTCCCCCTAACAAATTGGTAAATTATAAACAGCTCTTAGTTATAACACCAAATTATGCCAAAAACCTGAATGATATGCACAATGAGTATAAACCTAAATATATGGCTTTTTTGTGTTCAATAATTCACTCACGAAAACCTACTGCACTTCTGTTATACAATACATTTAGCCTTATAATTTGCACAGACATTCATATGAATCAGGATTTTCAACATCTAAAGAATATATTCAACAAAATGAGTAATATCTTACTAATGAAAAATGGATAGAATCTGAAATATGATTTTTTATAATCTATACAACAAATTCATATTTGTTTGTTTAAACCTTTGAACACCAGAGTCAAATTTAATCACCTAGCTCAAATAACAATGGATAATGTTGGCTATATTTATTTATATCAAAACCTGAAACATAAACATGTGCAAAATGTTGGCAAATATGGCAATTCAAAGGCATTAAAACACATGTTTTGTGTTGAAATATTAATGCATCATTAATTATATCATCGTTATTAACCTTTGTAAAGAGAGATTCACATCTGTCCACCTTGGATACAGTGGTATGTACACTAATGGATATGTGTAATTTGTGCAAAACTTTGTACTTAGGCACATAAATGAAGATAAAACGTATAGAATGCAGAACAAAGATCACTAATCGTAATCTGATATTGAAAACATCGTGTATGAACTTTAGTATATTGAATTATTTCTACATTGTAAAAATAGAAAGAACCAAGAACAACTACATGTAAAGTCTTTGAAAAAAAAAAAAAATAGAGAGCAAAAAATAAAACAAAAATACTATTTTTATAGTGTGCGATATCCAAGAACTAAGTTTGAGATAACTGTAATAAAAGAAATACCCTACTCAGAAAATACTATAAACCGCTGAGACCTCTGTCAAAAAATAACGACATACAGAGCACAGCTCTGAATCTAATCATATTAATATTGAAACTATTTTGACTCATTACAATTTCAAATTTACTATACTATGAAAGAAATCAGAAACCTCTATTAGTTTTAGATATATTTTGAGTAAAAAATTTGTGATTAACAGTAAAAATGAATACACATTCTGAAGTATGTTTACATATGCTTTAACAGGTCTTGGTCGCTACTTTTCATGCTCGTCCACTTTCTTGTTGTCAGTTTGAGGATTTTCAGGCTGTTTCATATTGCTTCTTCATAAAAACAATATAATTTGTCATAAAATAGTAACATTGTTTTTGGCAGCAAGTATAGCAGATTTTTAGCTTCACTACCATCGTAGATGACAAAGTGTAGCTGTCAAACTTTCTTTAAGGTTGTAATAAAGCAATATTCTATTTTGTTTTACTCTATAGGTGATTGTCTGTCATCTGTCAACAATTCCATTCTCAACTTCTTCTTGAAAACTACCACCTTGTGTGGACCTTGATCAGATTTGTCATTTCGTGACAAGTTTTTTACTCCTTGAAAACTACCACCTTGGGTGGATCTTGATCAGATTTGTCATTTCGTGACAAGTTTTTGACTCCTTGAAAACTACAACCTTGGGTGGATCTTGATCAGATTTGTCATTTCGTGACAAGTTTTTGACTCCTTGAAAACTACCACCTTGGGTGGATCTTGATCAGATTTGTTGACTCCTTGAAAACTACCAGTTCAATTTCTTGAAATCTTAGTTTGTACTAAGGATAGACAATTTCATGACAATATTCTCAATTCTCAATTTCTATTTCTTGTCATTTTTGGTCATCCTTGCATCCATTGTATGTAATAATGACATTTTCATTTTTTTCTTGAAAACTACCAGCTCAATTGTTTTCAAGTTGATACTTGGTATGTAGGTACTTTGGGTGGACCCTTGTCAGATTAGTTCATTTCATGACAATATCTTCAATTCTCTATTTTTAGCAAATATTTTTGTTATTTTTGATAACAAATATTCTATTTTTGACTTTTTCTTGAAAACTACCAGCTCAATTGCTTTGATACTTGGTCTGTAGAACACATGTGCATCTAATTAGGATTTTGAAAAAAATTCATTCATTTTGTAGATTTTCAGTTCAATATGACGGAAAATTGTTATTGATGAAACAAATTGGATTTGAATTAAATTTTGAAAAGCAATATTTAACAAAGGTAACAATGTACAAAACTCCAAATAGATCCATGGGTTCTATAAGAATTGTTACAAGATAATAACAAATGTAATTGCTATGGAAACAACCAAATAAACTACTGTGGGTGATATGGTGAGAACATTATGGGAACACTAATAACCATGGCAAATAGTTAATATCTCATCATCCAGTAGATTATCAACTCATATTTTTTTTTTTACTATTATTATTTTTTTTTAATAGTTTTTATTTTGCAGAAGTTTGTTTAGTTGTTGATCGTGAAAGCCTATCTACCCAAAAAAAGAAAAAAATAATATGAAAATCAACAAATAAAAACATCTAATTTTAATCAGATTAAATAATTCAAGTCCTCTATAATATATAGTACTACTTGTTATGATATAACTGAAAGCATGTCTAGAGAAATGTACCTATCACATGGCCTTCCCCTTTCAACAGAACAGTACTTCATTTAGATGCAGATTATGTGCAAGGGATAATCCTAAAATTTGCATAAACAAAAACCAAGTACATGAAATGTATTTTATACTAAATCTCAATCCTGGTTGGATTACACTGAATATTTTATTGGGTGTAGATTTCCCAAACTCTGGGGATCGATTGGAGTCTGGTTAGGATTTTCTGAGTCATCACGCATTAGTTCAGATTCCTCAGTAAATACTGATTCCTCTTCATCTTTTTGTTCCTCCTCATTTCCTTTGTACTGATCAAGACTGTCTGTTGATAAATAATGATTATCCTCATGCTCCGACTCACTCACTATCATCTTTTCATCATTATCGGCATCGTTGTTGTCTGCAGACTCACTGTTTCTCTTTGAGCTTGCTGATGATGATACACTACTATCGCTGTCGCTGCCAATTGTTTCTTCTGACTTTTCCTTGTTTTTATTAACATCAGTGGCACTAGCATCTGATCCTGACTTCTGATCGTGTTGTGGATGCTTATTTTGTAGGGCATTATCTAACTTAATCTCATCTTCGCTGTCAGATTCTAAATTGTTTTGTAAAAGACCATTCGTTTCCTCGTTTCCTTTTTCATTTCCGGAATATTTTTTCCTTTTTGGGACTGGCTCCATGGGAATTACAGCGTCTTTCTTTTCATCACTGATATAGCTATTCAGAGGCTGTATACTATCATGTGGCAGGGGTGACGGAGGTGTCTTGTATGGTACTGATGAATACCGATTGAGTCGGGTTCCTTTCGGCATCTCACATGCTTTCTTAGCACGGCATGCAATAATAACAACAACACAAAACACAGTGAGAATAACCAGGCACAGGCTGATAATCTGAGCTGCACCTTTATTGCAACTGATTTCCGGGTCAAAAGTTGTTATGAGGTCACCTTGTAGGTCATATGGGTACATACACACGTATTCACTGGCATTGACAACTGTCACATTTGTCTCCTCAAGCCAGTAGAGAAACCATTCTAATTCACAAGTACATGAAAATTGATTCTCAGCCATGTTTAGTTCTTGAAGGCTGTGTAGACCAGCAAACGTTGTCTTGTTAACAGTGCGAATCAAATTATACTGGAGTTCTAGAACCTCCAGATTTGACAGATCCTTAAAGAGCCCTTGACCCAAAACTTCTATGTTGTTATCAGCAAGGTCTAAGTTCTTGAGATTGTATAACACTTGAAAAGTCCCTGGATGGATGGAATCTAAATTATTTCCAGATAGCACTAGATTGGAGAGCGAATTCCTTATGGGTAAAAACACTGTACTGTTGTATTCAAACAGTCCACCGACATTCAGAGCATTATAGCTCAAATCGAGATACTGCAATGCGTTCATGCCAAAAAATGCATTTGAAACAATCTGTGAAATGTTGTTGTGGCTGAGATCAAGATGTGTGCAATCAAACAGGTGTCTGTATGGAATAGTACCATCAATCTTTGACAGATTATTGTGTGATAAATCTATCATTCGTAAGACTGTTGTGTTGTAGAATACATTTTCTGCAAATTGTTCTATCTTGTTATATGAAAGATCTAGTTTGTGTAAGCTCTTTGACTGACTGTTGAAAATTCCCGATTTGAGCATGCCATTGATGTTATTCACACTCATATCAAGACTTGAGAGTCTCTCAAGTCCCTTGAATGCATCAATTGGTATTTCACCAGTTAGTTTGTTATCAGATAAATCTATAGTTTGTACTGTATTTTGTAAAGGTTTGAAGTTTGGGTAGGTTGTCAGGTAGTTTGCTGTCAAGTTCAAAATTGTTAGGCTCATCAAATTGTCAAATGCACCGCTGTGAATTACTCCAATACTGTTGTATGCCAGGTTTAGTTGTCGTAAGTTTGGTAACGGGAGGAGATGCGCTGTGATTATACTAAGGTAGTTTTGAGAGAGATCCAGCACACAGAGGGTGGAGTTGGTCATTGCTTGAAACGTGTTCTGTGTCAACTGCTGCCAGCCGATTTCTCGCAGAATGAGCTCCTGTAGTTGGACATTCTGCAGTCCGTACAGCACTTCACCTACGTATGATGGTGTGAGTAGTGTCCCACTTAGATCTAGAGTATGAATATTCATGAAAGGATGGAACGCTTCTTGATTTACTGTCTGGAGATTATTATGGGATAGGTCGAGTCTCAGAAGTTTTGTGCCATTAAAACCAATGAAATCATCATTGTGAATTGTGGAGATTGTATTACCTGCTAAGTTTAGCACATCAAGAGTTTTAAGAGACTGGAAAGTCTGGTCGAAATTCACTTGTGGTATCTTGTTGTAACTTAGGTCTAGATACAGTAGGTTATGCAGTTTGGTTAGTGCCTTTGGTACATCACGTAGTAAGTTGTTGTCGGTGTAGAGCTCTTGTAGCATTGGTGTCTTTATCAAAGCCGTAATGGGAATAATATAGATATCATTGTGGGACAGTTTTAAAACATTCAGTCGATCAAGTCCTTCAAATGCACCTAATGCGATATCAGAGATGTAATTATGAGACAGATCTAAATGTTCTAAATTTACCAGTCCCTTAAAAGCACTGTCCTCAAGAACTGTTAAATTATTTCCACGTAAAATCAACGTTGTTATATCCGAAGATAAATTCCCCGGCAAGGAACCTATTCCTAAATTGGAACAGTCCAGCATAGTGCCATTATTTTTCAGACTGCACGTTGTTTCATTGGCAGGTAAGCCAACGATTGATGCTAGTCCAAAGTACAACACATAGATAGAAATGTACATGACAAGGGTGGATGAACCATGGCGGCGACGACAATGGAATCCATTCTTGGGAACATTCATGCGCGAACACAGAATCATTATGATGATCTTCCTATAGTTGAAACTCGTACAGTACAGTAGAATCTTCAAGGCCTACAGCAGTTCGTAAACTTCATTGTTGAAACTGACCCAGGACTGTTCATGCAAGTTGTCTTGTGTCGTCAAAACTGTCTGAGTTTCAGAATATACTTTGCCCCCACTGCTGCCAATTCACACTGTCTGTAGTTTGTTGAAATTTGATGGAGACCTAATTAGATCTCATAGTTCTGTCATTGATTAGCGAATAATTTATCATCATAGTAGGGCAAACGTCAGCATTCAGCAATAAGTCACATATGAATGCCACCCAATTACTACTGATTGTATAGTACTTATCTCCAGATAACGGGGTACGCACTGTACTTGTTGTAATATAATTTTGAAATGTGTTTTTCTGTGTTAGTTTACCACTGTTTATTTGGCTTCTAAATAAACACATAAGCGTCCGCATTCATAAACAAATATTCTGTTTGATTTATGTGCCTCTAGAGGAAACTGGGCAAGGTACGTCAGCTAAAGCAAAACAACTCAAAGAGTCGTAAAGTACAGTAAAGCATAAATGTTTAAAATTTATTATTGTATACAAGTAAATACCATTAACTGTACTACCAACGGTAACACTTAAACTTTATTTTTCTTCTACTTCCAATAACCTGCATTAACAGACCTGTGACAAAAAAAAAAATGTTGTGAGTGCCCCCTCTAGAGCCCGATGATATTTATCTTTTGTTTTTCATTTATTAATTGTTTTGTTGTAATTTACTTGTATACCCTGTAATAGGGTCTATGATTTACTAAATATATTTAGGCTTTTGAACAATTAACATAATTAGAATTGCTGGCAAAGATAAACTAAATAAATTTGAATGACATTTCTGACATACATTCCCCTCAAGATCCCCTGGCAGTCATTATTACTTGGTCCTAAATTTAATTTGTATTGTTTGTAAATAAATAAGATTAAATTTCTGGATTTTCACTTGTGTGCTGTGTCTACATGTAATCATATTTGCTTTACTATAATTTCTCTATTATTAGATTATGTAAATTGCTGAGAGGTATATGTGGTCAAAATGTCAATATTTTAATTCTCAAGTATGTAATACTGTGATTGCTATTATAGTAGCAAATGCGCTAAAATGTAACTGACAGAGATGTGTTTGTGGTCAAAATGTCATATTTAGATGATCGATTCTGTATATTTCTATATAGAAGGTGTGCTTGAAATAGAGCACATATAGCATATATCATGTCATATTTGTATAAAAATAACTCATGAAATTGTCAGACTTAATAAATTGAGCAGATTTCTTGTTAATTTTATCAGCTCACAAAATGCTAAGACTTGAATACAGTGAATATCTCGCCTCTGCTGAGTATTCCTGCTTGTATAATACTGCCCTCAAAAGCCATTGTTTGTTAAGTATAAGACCAAGTTTCTCCAGTCCCTAGCTGCAAGCACGATTACTAGAAACCGTGCTGCAAGGGACTGGAATCACCAAAATGCATCTTTAGGATGTGCTTGTTCAAGTAAATGTTGAGAATTGTACAAAATACTAAATTACCTCATTTGAGTTGTACAAACATTCATGTGACGTCCTAGCCACTGCTGCTAGCATTGTTGTCACTTCCAAGGACCTAGGGATTTTCCTCCAGGTAAATGTGTTATAATTGTATGTAGAACAATACACTTTGCATATGAAAGAACCATTACATAATGTCTACTTGATGGTCTGTTATTGTTTATCCTGTGGTTACACTAGGCAAACAAAAGTATGGTACTATAGTTATTCTGTTATTGTCCACTGTGCAGCTATACTAGTACTTTGCAAACTGCAACCACAGTCCCTCTATCCCCGGTCTGGAAACGACTAGCGTTCTTTTGTCTCGAACCGCAGTGCGGGTAAACAAACCGTTCACACGCGGGCGGAGGGAGCTGTGCTGCAACCAAAGATATGGTGCTGTACTTCATGTAATAATGGCCTATATGTACATATTCATATGATGCTACTGAAAAAGAAACCAAGTTGAAGAAGACATCAAAATCAGCTGCATGAAGTACATTGTAAGACTTCTTTCTGTATTCCATTTATAATGTTAACTCACAGGATAGAGTTAGCCTTTATTTTGTTGTTCTTGTTTTTATGGTGAATGTCACACACCTTCTATAGATATACTGTAAAATGACTAATTTTCACTGGGTTTAAATGTTGCTGATTTAGCATTTCAGGCATATTCATTGGGTTTTCAAATTCACGGTTTTATCATTTAGATAATGTGTTCTGTGCTAAATTTTACATATTTACTGGGTTTTAATTTAGCGCATTTTCCAGTCATTTTCCTTTTACAGTAGATGATTGTGTGAACATGAGACCAAGGGTACAAGCTGAGACACTGGTATTGTATAGTATATATAGTAATTAATACACATGGGTAAGCTTTACAACTTTTCAATGAATCAATTAAATTGCCATGCCTGGCAGTGTAACAAAACAGGCTGAACTTTTATTGCACATTTTTACTTTATGTTCACCCATAATTACCTTACATCCAAGGTCTTGGGCATTACTCTATCAAGTTCACAAATTCAAATCATAGCGAGCCCTTCTCAAAAGCTGCTTTTCACTGGATTTCAGTTTTTGTTGATTTTCTCCTTCAGGAAAAATATGTGAAATACTGTTGGTCATTAAGGTAGAATTTGTTTTAATATACTGTAGAATACTTTATTTTTGCTGGAATTAATTTTCGCTGAAAAGGCTTTTTGGGCATTTTGTATGGAATTTATTTTCACTGATTTTTAATGAGTTTAATGTGACATATAGGAAAAAAAGTATATTCGCTGGATTTTATTTTCGCGGAATCATCCTTTCAGCGAAAATAAATTCCAAGCGAAAATAAAGTATTCTACAGTATGTGAAATTCCATGAATAGATGAAATAAATTTAAAAAAAATATGAAGCCACCATTTGGAAAAAAAATGTAAAAAATGAACTAGTCATCTGAATATTTGACTGCACCTTTTGTTTTTATTGAAAAAGTGCATTGCAAAAATTTTACTTCCCTTTTACGGTAGTAATCATAAAAATAAACCATAATGTCAATTATTTTAGAAATATCTCATTTTTCTAACAGTAATGTTTTTGTTTTCTTTCAGATTTGAGTATTTGACTCTGCATTCCGAGGAATTTGCATGCAGTCAAAATGAGAAATGTTGAGAGGTTTTCATTAGGATCACCAAATCCTGTTCGGAATCGCCACCATGATCCCCACCCTAATGCCCATCGTAATCCTCAATATAATCCTAATTCACACTATAATCCTAACCCACGCTATAATCCTCTAAGCAAACTCTACACATACTCCTCTTCACAAAAGCAGATTGAAAAATTGAGAAATGAATTTTTCACAGCGGCCCAAGAATTGGATTTAAATGGAATACGGAAATGTTTGGAAAGAAACTTGGATGTAAATGTTACAAATGAACTGAAAGAGAATGCTCTGCATCTAGCTCTACACACGATACATAAGCGATCAAGACGGAAGAAACAAGCAGAGCTGAAGAGGTATAACAGGAGGTTACAAGATCAAGAGGAGGAGAATGAAGATGGAGCTGTACTGGATGATTGTGATGCCCAAAGTACTGGTAGGATTACAGTCAATACTGTATAGAGAATTTATTTTCACTCGGATTTTATTTATGCTATTTTCACTGAAATTAAATTGTCACACTAACAATATTTTTTTGCCCATAATACACTTGAAATTACAAATCAGAAAGAAATAAATAATTCGTCAAAATAAATAAGAAACCATCGTATTCACAGAGCTACAAAAATGTACATCACAGAATGTTTTATGTTGCTTGGACTCCCACCACTATAATACCGGTATGTGTGCCTATGTATTTCTATAGTCTCTGCATGAGCTGCTATGAACCCTGGTTGAAGAGCCAATGAAAACAGCACAAAATCAACTACGAAGCAATCATGAACAACCAAATTTATTGCACATGTAGTTGTAGTTTTTGACTTTCGTTTTCACTGGTGGTCACTGTCAGGCAGTGAAAATAGCCAGATATTCACTCCCGAGAATATGCTGAGATATATAGTATGTTTATTCATCAATAAAGGACAGGCCATTAACATTGGGGACTGATGAAACACAAATTTTTCAGGTACATGTATGGATGATAATAACAAAATCTGCAAGCATGTTTGAAACATCAAGTGAAATATTCCTCACATTACCGTAAAATCTGAAATTTAAAACTTCACAATCAATGTATCGATACTCTAATAACAATAATGTTGATAGTAAAAGTAAAAAAAAAAATACACCTCAATTCTGTTTTTTGTGCAGACCCCAATATCACTCTACAAGTATTTTATTTTTTCAACTCCTCAGATGAAGCCGCATTCACCAGATATCTCATAGAAGCTGGACTTGACATTAATAAGCATGATTGCTATGGTAACACCTGTGTTCACATTGCTTCTGATGATCGGCTGTTACACGTTCTAGATGTGATGTATGCGATCGCTAACCCAGACATCAACAAACGCAGTACAACAAATAGAAGACCTATCGATGATGCCGCCTTGTTAAGACACCTTGAAACTCTTAAAAGACATGTCAGTCACTTAGACAAGAATTCCAACAATCAGTTTCAAATCACTCTGTCGAAAAAGCCTACTTTGCATAGTAGAAATTCTTTGGGACAGTTTCAAGATCGCCAATACCGAAAATCATCAATACTTCATAAGAACTCAAGTTTTATGAAACCCCAAAAAGGCATACTAAAAACTTGGAGTTCAAATGAGGATGCAGTGGTGGGTGGCATAATGAGCGAGTTGCAGTCCGTACTTGATGATTGTGATGAAGATGGAATGACTGTACTTCACTATGCTGTACTGGGAGGTAAGCAAAAATTAATCGTGTTTTGTACCCTTTTCCAAAGATTTTAGGTAGAATGCCACAAAAACGTAAAAATATCGTCATTTTGTTTATTTTTACATATGTGATATATCATGTTACAAGGATTAAGAAGTATTAAACTATTATTATTATTAATTATTTTTTTAGTGGGTTTTTATCAAAGAATTGTGTTTTCATTGTGGTCTATGGAAACTGCTGCATTTTATATATATTTTATTTTTTACTGTTTTTCTCAAAAATCAGATTGACTGAACAACAAAATCTGACATTGTTGATTAATACTAAAATGAATAATTGTAAACTGATGGAAGTCTTCAAAATCTCAATCAAATCAAATTGTTAATTCAAGTGTTAATTCAAATTTGCCATCATGTACTGGTGCCATCCAAGGTATTGCACAGTTGCAGTGAAAAATTTAAAATCTGTAATTTCCACTAAATTTCAGGAAATACTGAGATAGTGGCTCACCTTTTGGAAAATGGAGCTGACCCACTGCTTTATACCACACAAGGTGATTATCAAAAAACGCCCCTTCACTTAGCTGCCTTGCACGGAAATACTGAAGTGGCAAAGTTGTTGATTGATAAGAACAGTAAATTACTTGATATCCCTGATGAGCTAGGAAATACAGCACTGCATACAGCTGTGTTCAAAGACATGTATGATATGGTGGAGGTGAGTAATCAAATGAATCCTGTAAATACATTAATTATTTGCTGCTTTTTAATTACTGTAAAATACTTTATTTTCATTTGGAATTAATTTTTGCTATTTTCGCTGAAGGAGTAATTTAGTGAAAATACCATTTTTCCTATATTTTACATTCAACTCACAAAATATAAATAAAAATAAATTCCATACAAAACACCCAAAGGGTCTTTTAATAGCGAAAATTAATTCCAGCTAAAATAAATTATTCTACAGTATGCTATTTTTTCTAATTAGTAAAATTGCCCAAATTAAATGCATGTGCATGTGTATAATAACAATAAAACTTGTTGTTCCCCTGTCAAGATCGTGAATATCAAAATTGCTAAAAACATGAAAATAATGAAATTAAATGCCAGTGGAAATAAATGGTTTTACATGTAAAAACAAAGTAATTAACCAATTCAGTCACAGAGGGCATGTTTCAATAATTTTAGCATACTATTTAGAATTCCATAATTGCCTTATTAGAAGCGTATACACTTTAATAATATGTAAATGTCAGAGATTAGTCAATGGTCAAGATAAGAAATGTTTCAATGATCTAGCATACAATAAATGCAATTTTTGTTTTTTGTGTGCCTCTATTGAAGATGTGCTTCTATAGGGCAAATACGGTAAAACAGAGTAAAATTTGTATCAAACTTAACTGATGTATCTGAAATTATTAGATTAATGAAAATAACATAATTTGGTGCCTCAGGAAGATCATAGTATAATGTAAATGTCTGTCACCAAATTTCTACAATTTTAATTAACATGACTGTATCCAATGGCAAATTAGCATGCTGCAAATATAATTGTCATGCCGTACAATAAATACATACAAATTTGACCACATAATTATTTTGCAGAATTTTGTAATTTATTGAACTTCTAAAATACGGTACTGACAGACCACAGAATTATTTTGGTTCTCCAAAATTGTGTTCATCTTGGATTTTTCTTCTTACACCTGTGGTTGAACACTTAATTCTTCTTTAGTATATATATACATTGTATATATTTCAGTCATGAAACAGTAATTTCACACAAATTTAAAAAATTTAAATTTAACAGTCACAATTACATCGTAAATTTGTGTCCTAAAGGCCTGGCTGGCTATTTGGAGTTGTTACGATATATCAGTTTTATTAACTTTAATATCAAAGACAACAAAAGGCTGAGTAAACCAATACAAAGGTCAAATGATCTTATGTTGACCATATTTGAACATTTACATACTCCAAACCAATCGTGTTAACAGTTGGTAGGTGCAGTTTGGTGTCAATATGTCTGATGAATAAGAGTGTAAACATCATTTTTGTTGCTACCAGCAGAAGATATTAAAAGTCAGCTCAGGCTACAAGGTCACTTTGAACACCAATATTATTAAACGAACAAAGTAAATAAAAGTGGCATGTAGACTCTCTACTTTCATTAGTTTGCATAAGTACAGGTGATCACCTGATTTTTCATCATCACAAGATGATTGGCTATCATGGTTATCACATGACTGGAACTAGATCATTCATTGGGTTATGACATATGAATATGTAATAGCAACAGATACCTGTTTATTTCCACCCATACATGTTAATAATTATAACATTGACTACCAGGAGATATACATTGATAATCTAATATAAGGTTCCATTATGGTATAGTGCAGAAACATGTAATGCATGGTGGAAAGACACTAACAGGTTGTATTAGCCTTTTTACATTATTTATATTTTCAATTATCCTTGAATTCCAAATTTACATTTACTGTATTCTTTTTGTTTGATTTCAAATGTGTAAATTTCTGCAAATATTTATAACTTAAAACTGCTAAATTGTTACACATGAATTTTTCAGGAGCATTATACTGTGATTGTTATTAACCTTTTAAACGAGAATGTCTACATTTGTCACTTTTCACAAAATAAACCTCACCCCTGTTTCATATTTCCATGTTCCATTACATGGAGTACATAGTTCGTACTGGGTTATGTAATGTTTTATAGAATTGAATTTAAAACTGTTTGTAGTTTTGAAATTATTGTTTTTCAACTCAAAACTGTAATCTGAATTTTTTTTCATGAGTTTCTTATTTTTTTTTTAAGGTTTCACACATCTCCTATATCTAATAATTCTCTTTCTTTTCAGATTTTGCTATCTAAAGGTGCATCTATAAAAGTTAAGAATCATGGCTCTAGGACTCCATTAGATGAAGCTTACTTAATAGAGCCTGTTAATCAGGATATTATAGATTTGATACTTAACAACAGAAAAGTAGGTTTCATTTGAATGTTAATACATTGCCTACTGATGCCGTTTGTTTTCCTATTCATTTTGGCTACCCGATATCATGGAGGCTTTCAGCAGGTAATGTATTAATGTATGAAAACATTGTATGTACCGGTAATCACAATTTTTTTCATATGCAGGCCATCATCCTGTAACAACAGGCCAAAAAATAAAATAAAAAGGCTCTCGGCAGTGTGAAGTGCTGCAACGAGTACTAGTAGAAGGCCAATTTTGGCTTGTAGCCGGCCATATGGCCGACGGCCAGCTTTTAATGGAACCCCTGCATATGTACTTTACACATGGTGCTTAACACTGGAATGTGACATTTTATAAAAATAATAGTATTATAATAATAATAATATTAATAAGCTGATGCACATCACCTGTTTGTTTTACATGGTAGTTTACTAATGTCATTCTAATAATGGAATACTATTTTTAGCATTTAAATGTCCTAGTCATTTTATGAAAGAGAACAATGTAGTTTTAGCTGCAGTGTGAATTGTAAATAACTATCATAATAATGAAAAGCTTACTGATTTTGTTGCAAAAAAAATTTGTTTTTTTTACTGAAACGTGGAATATTAATTTTCAATATGGCTTCCAAAATATCACAAAATTTCAGTAAAAAGTAAAAACTAATACTTACTTGGATTTGACACCATTGTTTTCATATTTTTAGTTCCAAATGAGTTAACACATGGTGATATGTTATGTAACTTGATATGATAATAGCATGCAAATACATTGTAAATGATTCATTCTTCATCTTGGTGCAGTTTGGACAGCATTCCAAAAGTATAGTGAAATTGTCAATGCTACAAATCTTTACCCTGACAAACAAAATTAATAAAAATGTGTCTCTGTCATGAAGTGAAAGTGTTTCTACCTTATACTGTATTGCCCCTAATTAAAAGACTTATTTTGACCATAAACTTACATGTACCTAAGTGTGTGCAGCACACGAGGACAGCACATACAGTATTCTAAAATTATACATTTATTTTTATTTAAATAGAAAAAGAAGAAAGAGCCACAAACCAAGAGTAAAGATCCCACCATGGCTAAGAAAGAAGCTGGACTCCTTTTCTCCAAAATCGGGGACATCAAAGATATTGGTGGGAAATTCCGTAAAGCAATTGATCGTGATAAAGCAAAAGATGATATTAATACACATGTTTATGAAGATAAATATCTTGAGTTGGATAACTTGAGTAAAGAGTTTTTAGAAGCAGCCGCTGCAGCTAACACAGGGGTTATTAAAAGTTATCTTAAGCAAGGTGTACAGCCAGGTAAATATGTTTTGTATTGCTTAACCCGTATTGATCAACCACAAGTAGCCAATATTTATAATGTTGTTCAAGTTCATGTTTCAAGCCATGGCTTTCTATGACATGCACTGCCGAAGCTGATTTTTGAAAATACAACTGTAGCTGATTTTTTCATAGTACTGTGAAAACATACTAGCACATACTGATGGTATAAGCATAATAATTTGATGAAAATGATCTCTCGTATTAGATTAAATTTTATACTCTCTCATAGAATTCACTCCAAATATACCACTGTTGTTAGGTATATAAATATATATACCGTATATATAAACAAGCGTACATATGATTTTGGTTTGACTTATTATCAAATGTTATTACTATTCAACTCTTATAGTATTGGCAAATTGACACTAACCTACCCTTTTTTGTTTCAAGGTGTTCAAAACAGAGATGGGGAAACAGCTTTGCATTTGTTGATAACACAAGGTCATCCTGACATTGGAAGTTTGATCAATATGATACTAGATGCGGGTCCTGCTCTAAACTGCACAACAAACAGAGGAGAGACTGCATTGCATTATGCTGCTAATAGAGGTAGAGTAGAAATAAGCATTATACACTTATTCAAATTCTCATTTATAGACTTTATAGTGAATCTCCAAGAACACAATGGAATAATTCAATGATTGATGTATATGATAAATAGTAAAGTTAGGTTGAGACACACATATATACTTCCAGGCTTACAGTTGAAATTGCGAGTACTGTAAAATCTGTATTAGAAGCCACGGCTTCTATTAAAATGGTACAATGCAACAGAGGGGATGCGGCTTCTATTAGAGCATCTACACATATGAGAAATGATGAATTTTTGGTTCTCAATTATTCAAATAGAATTGGTGCGACTTCTATTAGGGGTGCGGCTTCTAATACAGATTTTACGGTACATCCTGTTTCACATGTGGTGCATGCCATATTATCAATGCGAATCATAATACATGCATATTAATTGAGAGCTAGAAGTGACATAGGACTTCCAAAAAATTGCTCCCTAAACAAGTGTATTATTTCTATGGAAAAAAATAAATTATATTTATTTGATTCAGTATACGGTACAACACATACAACTTATATGCATTTTAGATTAAATACTGTATGTATATGACCTATATATCTTATATCGTGGTAGTGCAGTATTCAATCCAAATTTTGTTTCTTATATATTTAGGTTCTTCAGTGTCATTGAGAATTCTGCTGGACCGTGGTTCCGACCCCAATGTTCAGGATCTCAGAGGGCAAACGGCTCTGTTTAAAGTTTCAGCAGAAAAGCTCTCGATTCCAGACACTATATCATGTGCTAAAATTTTGATTAAGTACAAAGCTAATGTTAACACTGCCAATAAACAAGGACTTACACCATTACATATTGGTAAGAAATCAAATTTCCAATGTACATGTAACTCATTTTATTACTGTATGTGAATTACTTCTATTTATAGAACTGTACCATAAATGCATTAACGTTTTGCTTGAATTGAATTTAAGTAATGAAAAACATAGTAGAACTGTTTAATAATTCAATTCTGGAATTAAAATCCAATTGAATATTCTTGCCAAAATAATGTTCATTTCAAACAACCTCATTCCATTGTAAACAAACCCTTATAAAAATGTCAGCCTTGTCGCACAGTGTTGCGGCGTCTATGCCGTAGGGCTGCCGCACCAAGCTGCACTGATTTATAACTATATTTCTCGCACTGATTTTCTGTGCATTATCACTACCGTGGCCATGCCGCATCCACTCTGTAACTATGCCGCACAGCTTCCATTTTCACAAGGGAAATGTCTGTGTTCATAGCAGGAATTAATTGTCGCAGAAAAGACTTTTTGTGTGGAGTTCATTTTCACTGATTTGTTGAATGTAAAATATAGGGAAAAGGATATATTGGCTGATTTTATTTTCATAGAATCATCCCTTTAGCAGATATAGTAATATAATAAAGTATTTTACAGTAAGATTTAAATGTACAAAGTTAGTGCAGTACAGAGTAAAGTAAATTAGCCACTCAAGTTTCACCCACTGGTTTCACCATGCTTTCCTGTTAATATAATAGCACGTCAATGGCTTCCACAGTAAATTTGAAAAGTGTGTCTGTGGTTGAGAATGTGGCTGGATAAATGGATGAATAGAAATCAAGGTTATATAACTTATTTATTGATTAAAACATAGTTTGGTCACTCACTTTTGCTGTTTTTTTCTGAAATTTTGTATATACTCTATTTTTACTTAATATGCTGTCACTTTATCTGTGTTTACTTTTCAGCTTCCAAGTATGGGAAACAAAGTCTTATGAAGTTACTAATTGACAGTGGAGCTGACGTCAGTTTAGGTAGAAATTTTTATATTTTCGAATTTCACATAAATGTAGTATTTTTCAATGCTTGAGTTGTTGATTTAAAAAAACATGTTCAATATCATACTTTGAATCAATATCAGCAAAATCTGAATTAACATTGAAATATAAGTCATGAAATTCAATGATATAAGTATGTGTACATGGATATCTGAAAATTAAGGCTGAAGTTTACCTTCATTTCATCTTTGAATATTCGGTATTGGCTAAACTTTCATGAAAGATCTCAGATTTCTTTAAAGGAAGCATTTCAGTAAGATAAATGTTTATGTTGTTAACATGGATATCAGAAAATTAGGGCAGACGTTTATCTTCATTTCATCTTTGAATGTTGAGTATTGGCTAAGCTTTCATGAAAGATCTCAGTTTTCTTTAAAAAAAAGCATTTCAGTAAGTTGTGGCATAGTCCATAAGACATATAATGCCTCTGAAATGTGCAAGTCTGGGTCCAGTTTCCTCTGTGCATGTCAACTTAAGCAATGAATGTTATGATACAAAAACCTGGATTCTGACAATTTAATTTCTTTAACTAACAGTGGACTCCCAGAACAGAACCGCATTGCATCACATTTTCAGGATGTCACATGATAGCGATGCTGATCAGATTGATATCCTCGTTCCATTACATGGATCCCCTGCCATCAACATCCGTGACAAATCTGGCGACACACCTCTGCATATGGCTGCACGCAGTCAGCGACCACTAACTATGATAGCACTACTAGAAAAAGGTGCAGATCCAAATCTTGTCTCTAGTAGAGTTCCAAAACAGAGAGCATTGGAAATACTCTACCAAGACTTCTTGGTCAATAAGAATGAGGTGAGATGTTATTTTGATTTTTGTTTCGTCTTTGCCGTTGAAATTAAAAATACATTATACACATTATATATATTATGTCTATCATTGTATCTCTAAGAGCTAATTGTACTAGTACTGTACTGTTCAATATGCTTTGCATTGCTCACATTAACTCAGGTCAGAGCAAAGTGATTCAACTTTGACACTAAGTCAGCTATATGCTAGTAGATAAAGTTGCCACCTTGTGTATAATTTGTATTGATCAGTTTGGCACTTGTATTCATATGTAATGCCCTAGTGCAATTTTTGTATGCTATTAATCTCGGTAATAAAAGTTATTGCTATTTACACTGAGACTGTAAAGTTAATTTTCTGCACTATGCAAGACTGTGTAATCACTGGCACAATATGCTCACAATCTTCCACCATATTTCTGTCTATTAATGTCAGTCGATAATATTTTCATGATGGTCACTGTGACTACAAAATTTGGCAATTGTCTACGATATGCAAAAATTAATTAAATCTGTATATAGTTCTGTAAACTGCAAAGAATTTTTATGATTTGATTATTTTATGGTATTTTTGAAGACAAATTTGTTTGTTTCGTAGAACCCCAGAGTAATTGTCACTGCTACAAAGTTTCTTAATTTTCACTGAAATTTTGCTCTCAAATTTAAAGCAGATCACAGTTTATATATAACATACTGTTAAAACCTGTTGAACTTAAAGGGGAACTGAAACTATAAGTAGGGGAAAAATGGCCACTGCTAATTTGAACCAAGCCGCTCACATCATGGCAGGAGCTCCGGGAATTGTGACATTTACGATGTTTAGAGGTCTGTGATTCCAAATATATTTCTACGAGGGTATGAATATATGCGCTAGCGATTACACTCATCTGGTTGGGCTTTTGATGTATACATGTTGTTGTTTTCGGTTGAAACGTACCGCAACATGTAAAAATCATGAGTTTAAAATGGCGGCTAATGTATGCAAAATGCATATCAATCACAGTTTGAGTAAGCGAGCATAATAAGCATTCATCTAATTACCCATGAGCACGGGGTGCGATCCATGGGATTGAGCGGTTCCCCTTTAAGAAATTTATAAAGAACAGAAATAACTGATTTTATTATGTGTTTCATTTGTTCTCTAGGACCATGAGATAACTAATGACTTCAGTATTGCAGAACAGATTGGGGAACCTGAATTAATTCTGAGGTCCCCATCTCCTATACTGACAGCAATGAACTACAGTAAAATATTTTCACAGATTGCAGAATCCAAGGATGATTGTTCCACATATGCAGGTAAAGTTATATTCACATCACAATACTGTTGGCCTGAGAGAAATATATCAGTAAATAAAGAGATATCTTCTTTGGTGGTGATATTCATTGCATGTGATTTGTCCATGCAGGCTTAATACTATTTGACGTGATTTCTTCATTGTTGAGTGTGCAAAACAGATCTAATCCAGATAACAGACTCCGATGATTTAAATCCAAGTTACATTATATCTCATTGTGGCTTTTCATTGATTTTTTTGTGAATTCCAATAAAGTTACCTGCCTGAGTGAAGCACCGCGTCCTGTTCGATATGGGACTCATATCAACGTATACAACGCGTGTAAAATACATTGTTTTATTTACATGAAATTCGAACATGCGCTGCGCGACACCCACCGCGCTTTAAACAGTAAACTTTAAACATAAATATGTCTTCTAGTTATGCTGTAGCAACTTTTTTTTGTCTCTTTACGCCGGCATAACCAATATGCCAGCATAAGAGAAAAAATGGGTGTGAACAGATCACATTGGTGTGAAGGGGCTTGAATATGGCTAAGTTCAAACCCCCCTTGGAAAGGAGTATCAGCAACACCATGACTATTAAATGCATAAAATGTAGCACTTACATTGACTTAAAAACAGATGTGAACACAAATGGGTTTGTTGTTGAATTGGAGTCCTAAACTGCATTTTGGTATTTACCAGTAGTTTATTTCAAAGTAGGTGCTCATAATATATGTTGAATTTTCAGGCAGTTTGGTTTGTATATAATAGATGTACCGGTACTATTAATGTTTACGTGTGCTTTTAATAGAGCTAATATAATATATATATATAGTCACTCAAAGAAAAAGATATTGAATATAAAATACAATGGAAAATTCTTGCTCGCGATAGCCCGTATAATAGCTCCAGCAAACGATGTATTTTATGTTTGAAAGAAAAATTCATCATAATTTTTAGACCCCACCACTCCACATTAAACAAAAGAAATGAACTCGTGTCATCATGCCGACACAGATCAAAAGCTCTAATATGCAACAATTAAACTTTCTATTTAATTTTAATTAATATTTTAATTTGCGAAGCTTATAATGTATGCTCTTTGGTGCAGTGAATGATTAAACATAAAGCTCCTGATGAGTGAGGTACTTGTACCTTACGAAACAGTGCTGTCGAGTTTCAATATCCATGTAGTTGTGTATTAATTCCTCTATCGCCGTATTCACCCACCATAAATATACTTTGTATTGAGCACTTTTTGTTTTGGAATAATCGACTATGTATCTACACTATATATATATATATATATATACACTAAATATTTGCATTTTTCTATAGTTGTTGTAACCTTTTCTATCCCCTATTAGGGAGTGTGTGAGTGTTATTGAATAAATATAAATTGGCAGGGTAGCGGCTTTTTTATAAATGTAATGACGAGGAATACATTTACATTAAAATAAACCCTCAACAATATTTAAATCATGAGCATAAATGTTGAGGTTAAAATATTTAACGTTAATTGGTGTATCATTTTTTAACTGATTTTCAGGTTTGTCAGTTGCTTGTGAGGAATTAGCAGTGGATCTACTACAAACATGTCATAATATGGATGACGCTAGAATTATTTTACAACAAAAAGATTATTTGGTCTTTAAAACTGCATCACAAGATCAGCACAAAAAGGTGAGTGGATATTTTAACTATCACTGGAATTTAAAAAGTGAAAAAACAGCTAATAATTACAATATACCACTGACTAAAACACACTCTGGTAATTTAACCACTCAACTAATATAATTTTTGACTATTCAGCCATTTTCAAAAGAATATGTAGCTTGGTGTCACTGTGGCTATTATTAAGTGATGAAAATTTGCCACTGTGAGTTTGTTAACCATGTAAAATTAATATCTCTTGAAGTTTGTGGACACAAAGTTTATGACATTTTGTTCAAGATACTGGTAGTTTAATTCTACCAGGTGCATTGGTGGTGTTTCTATGGGAACCATGCTGAAAGATGTTTTTACTGCCCTAGCAACCCTCTATTGACAAAACAATGCAAGAATATGCTTGGTTGTACTTGTACGGGATATTCAATTTTAATGTATTTGCATGCTATCAGAAAATTGTGCATACTAGGTGTACAAAAATTGGCTAAACCTCTAAACAATTATGAACAATAAAATTTGTTTTCATCGGCTGTCTTTTCTCAGTAGAAAACTATGAATACAATTTAAACATTATTATTATTATATACAGTGCATGTTTCCTCTACTCTAACTACCATTTTGAATGGTCATCGAGAAATAATTTTATAGAATTTGTATTTGCATCTTTTAGGGTGATGATTGACACAGATGTTTGTATTCATATTATGTATATAAGCATATCTTACATAATTACACTGCTGATCTTCACTGGCTCGGAAGATGAATTCTGATTGGCTAAAAAAACAAAAAACTTGTGGCGTTGAATGCACGTTCATTCTCAGTAATGTTATGCAAATTAGAAATTCAAACTAGCTAATCATTTACAACCTTCCGAGCCAGTGCAGATTAGCCCTAATTACAACTGGTTAGATTAAACCATTTTCACAAAATGTGCATAACAAACCAGTCAGCAATTTTGCTGTTCATTTTGATGTCAAAGATATGAGAGTAATGTGTATATGTGCATAGTATGTCACCCATATCGCACATGGTTGAATGCAAAACTACTGCTTTTTATCTCGAGCGGAGCCTATCATATAAGTGATTGTCAGTCGTCCAAGTCAATTTTTTACTTTTTTGATTTCTTCTTGAAAACTACAATTTTTATTGCTTTGGTACTTGGTGTATATGTACCTTGGGTAGATCTTAGATTAGTTTATTTTGTGACGATATCTTTAATTTTGATGAATAGTTTTGTCATTTTTGATAAAAGTGATTTGACTTCTTGTTAAAAACTGTCCGATTGTCCGATTGTCTTTGATACTATACATATAAGTACCTCAGATAGACTTCTCTCAGGTTTATTTTTAGTAAAAAGTGATATTTTCAACTTCTTGTTATAAACAGCAAGTATGATTGCTTTGATGCTGTACATGAGGTATCTCAGATAGACCGCTCTCAGATTTGATCATTTTCTAATGATATCTTCAGTTCTTTAATTGAAACGTGCATTGCTAACAGCAGAGCTATCTCAG